GACCTACACATAAGAGTGCCCAGAGGACATACCTTTTACCACAACTGTGAGGAACAAATTTGTGAAGGGAGCTCCAGTATCCTTGAAGACTGCTGTGATTCCTATTTTATGTAAATCAGATTTGACAGTGGGAACTGCCCTAACTGACTTAAGACACCTAACTACAATGGGGCTGATTGGACCCCATGGTAGTAGGGGCCAAGTGGCTGCACTCAATCAAAGACAAGGTAGGCGTGGTTGCAGTAATGGACAGTGGAGTCAAAGCAGTAATCAGAATAGTCTGACTCATACAGACTTATGGTGTTGGCTACTTAGTCATGGTGTCCCTAGGAGTGAAATAGATAGGAAATCTACTAAATATTTACTTGATTTGTACAAACGATGAATTTTAGGTCAGGTGAACAGCAGTCTAACTCAAATTGCCAGAATTGAGAGTCACGGTCCCTCAATCAATTCCCAGATTTGAGGGAGTTTAAAGACCCACAACCCCTTGAATGAAGGGGAGGCCAGGTACCCTTGAGGATGGACTCCAACACACTGCCAAAATTTTTTACCGTTAATCTTTCTCCCAGCCTTCCCCAAAGGGATCTATGGCCTTTTATGAGAGTGACTGTTCACTGGAGAAAAGGAAATAATTAGACTTTTTGGGGATTACTGGATACTGGCTCTGAACTGACACTAATTCCAGGAGACCCAAAACGTCACTGTGGCCCACCAGTCAGAGTGGGGGCATATGGAGGTCAGGTTATTAATGGAGTCTTGGCTCATGTCCATCCAGTGGGTACCCAAACCCATCCTGTAGTGATTTCCTCAGTTCCAGAATGCATAATTGGAATAGATACACTCAGCAACTGGCAGAACCCACCACATTGGATCCCTGACAAATAGAATAAGGGTTATTATGGTAGGAAAAGCCAAGTGGAAGCCATTAGAACTGCCCCTACCTAGGAAAATAGTAAACCAAAAGCAATGCCACATTGCTGGAGGGATTGCAGAGATTACTGCCACCATCAAGGACTTGAAGGATGCAGGGGTGGTGATTCCCACCACATCCCCATTCAACTCACCTATTTGACCTGTGCAAAAGACAGATGGATCTTGGAGAATGATAGTGGATTGTCACAAACTAAATCAGGTGGTGTCTCCAATTGCAGCTGCTGTTTCAGATGTAGTTTCATTGCTTGAGCAAAGTAATACATCCCCTGGTATCTGGTATACAGCTATTGATCTGGCTAATGCCTTTTTCTCCATACCTGTTTTGAAGGACCATCAGAAGCAGTTTGCCTTCAGCTGGCAAGGCCAGCAATACACTTTCACTTGCCTACCTCAGAGCTACATCAACTCTCCAGCCCTATGTCATAATTTAGTCCGCAGGGAACTTGATCACCTTTCCCTTCCACAAGACATCACACTTGTCCATTACATTGATGACAGTATACTGATTGGACCTAGTAAGAAAGAACTGTCAATGACTCTGGACTTATTGGTAAAATATTTGCGTGCTAGAGGGTGGGAAATTAATCCCACAAAAATTCAGACACCTTCCACCTTGGTGAAATTTCTAAGGGTCCAGTGGTGTGGGGCATGTCAAGATAATTCCATCTAAAGTGAAGGATAAGTTACTGCATCTGGCTGCTCCCACAACTAAAAAGGAGGCACAATGCCTAGTGGGCCTCATTGAATTTTGGAGGCAACATATTCCTTATTTGTGTGTGCCACCCCGGCCTATTTATCAAGTGACTCGAAAAACTGCTAGTTTTGAGTGGGGCCCAGAACAAGAGAAGGCTTTGCAACAGGTTCAGGCTGCTGTGCAAGTAGCTCTGCCACTCGTACCATATGATACAGCTGGTCCAATGGTGCTTGAAGTGTCAGTGGCAGATAAAGATGCTGTTTGGAGTCTTTAGCAGGCCCCTATTGGTGAATCACAGTGCAGACCCTTAGGATTTTGGAGCAAAGCCCTGCCATCCTCTGCAGATTAGTTTCCTTTTGAGAAACAGCTTTTGGCTTGTTACTGGGTCTTAGTAGAGACTGAACCATGGGATACCAAGTCACCGTTGTGGCCTGAACGGCCCATCATGAACTGGGTGTTGTCTGACCCACAGTCATAAAGTTGGACATCCACGGCAACACTTCATCATTAAATGGAAGTGGTATATACAAAGATTGGGCCTGAGCAGGACCTGAAGGCACAAGTTGCATGAATAAGTGGCCCAAATGCCCATGGTCTCCACTCCTGTCACATTACCTTCCATCTCCCAGTCTACATTATGGCCTCATGGGGAGTTCCTTACGATCAGTTGACTAAAGAAGAGAAAACTCATGCCTAGTTTACATATGGTTCTGCAAGATATGCAGGCACCACTCGAAAGTGGACAGGGGCAGCACTACAGCCCTTTTCTGGGACCTCCCTGAAGGACAGTGGTGAAGGGAAACCCTCTCAATGGGCAGAATTTTGAGCAGTGCACCTGGTTGTTCACTTTTCTTGGAAGAAATGGCCAGATGTGTGAACTGTATACTGATTCATGGGCTGTGGCCAATGGTTTGGCTAGACAGTCAGGGACATGGAAGGTACATGATTGGAAAATTGGGAGACAAGGATTTATGGGGAAAAGGTATGTGGATAGACCTCTCTGAACGGGCCAAAGAAGTGAAGATATTCATGTCTCATGTGAATGCTCACCAAAGGGTGACCTCAGCAGAGGTTGATTTTAAGGATGACACGTTCTGTAGAAACCAGTCATCCTCTTTCCCCAGCTACTCCCGTCATTGCTCAATGGGCTCATGAACAAAGTGGCCATGGTGGCAGGAATGGAGGTTACACATGGGCCCAGCAACATGGACTTCCACTCACCAAGGCTGACGTGGCTACAGCCACTGCTTAGTGCCCAATCTACCGACAGCAGAAAACAACAATATGGCACCATCCCTCGAGGTGATCAGCCAGCAACCTGGTGGCAAGTTTACATTGGACCACTTCCATCATGGAAAGGGCAGCATTTTGTTCTTACTGGAATAGACATTTACTCTGGATATGGATTTGCCTTCCCTGCACGCAATGCTTCTGCCAAAACTACCATCCGTGGACTTACAGAATGCTTTACCCACTGTCATGGTATCCCACACAGCATTGCCTCGGATCAAGGGACTCATTTCATAGCAAATGAAGGGTGGCAGTGGGCCAATGCTCATGGAATTCACTGGTCTTACCATGTTCCCCATCATCCTGAAGCAGCTGACTTGGTAGAACCATGTACAGCCTTCTGAAAGACGCAATTATGGCACCAGCTAGGTGGCAATACCTTGCAAGCTTAGGGCAGTGTTCTCCAGGTTGTATATACTCTAAACCAGCATCCAATATATGTTACTATTTCTCCCATAGCCAGGATTCATGGGTCCAGGAATCAAGGGGTGGAAATAGGAGTGGCAGCACTCACCATTACCCCTAGTGACCCACTCGCAAAATTTTTGCTTCCTGTCCCACGACCTTATGCTCTGCAGGTCTAGAGATCTTAGTTCCAAAAGGAGGAAATGCTCCCACCTGGAGACACATCACTGATTCCACTGAACTGGAAGCTAAGAATGCCACCTGGCCACTTTGGGCTCTGTATGCCTCTGGATCAACAGGCAAAGAAGGGAGTTACCATACTGGCTGGTGTGATTCATCCTGATTACCAAAAGGAAATCTGACTGGTTACATAATGAAGGTTAAGAAGAGTATGCCTGGAACGCACGAGATCCCTTAGGGCATGCCCTGTGATTAAAGTCAATGTAACACTACAGCAACCCAATTCTGATATGACTACTAATGACCCAGACCCTTCAGGAATGAACGTTTGGGCCACCCTACAAGGCAACGAACCACAACCAGCTGAGGTGCTTGCTGAGGACAAAGGGAATACAGAATGGGTGGTGGAAGAAGGTAGTTCTAAATACCAGTAATGACCACGTGACCAGTTGCAGAAATGAGGACTGTAATTGTTATGAGTATTTCTGCTTTGTATGTGTGCATCAAATATTTTTTTTTCACTTATAAAATATAAGATGTAAACAGGGCTAGTGCGTTTCCAGTTGTTAGCTGTATCATGTTAGGTGCCAAGTATGACTTTGTAATTATCTTTATTCAGAGATTATGTACGGTTCGAGGAGATGTGTACACGTGCCAAGTTGACAAGGCGTGGACTGTGATGGTTAAGATTGAGCATCAATTTAGCTAGGCCATGATTCTCAGTGTTTATATGTGATCACACCCAGGATGGATTCTGCTGTGAGAAGTCAATCAGTTGAAAGGGAGTTTCCTTGGGGGTGTGGCTCGCAGCCAAATATAAGCAGATGTTCTTTTTGCTTCCTCTGGATCCTGTGGCTGCCTCCTGTTTGTCTGACCTCTGGTTCTTGGGACTTATCAGCTTATCTGCCAGTCTTCAGATTTGTCGACCTTCACAGTCTGTGAGCGGGAGCCCTACTCTCTGATCTGCCGATCTTGGGTTTGCCAGCCCCTGCAGCTACATGAATCAAGAGAAGCCTTGAGGTGTTGCCCGACAATCTTGGGATTCGTTGATCTTCACAGACTGTGAGCAAGAGCTCTGCTCTCCGACCTGCTGATCTTGGGTTCACCAGCCCCTGCAGCTACATGGATCAAGAGAAGCCTCTATTCTGATCCAGGGACTTGAGACGTTCCAGCCTCTACAATCGCATGAACCATTTCCTTGATATAAACCTCTTCATATACATATATATATATACACACACACACACATATATATTTCTATATGTATATATATATATATTTATATGCTTTACTGGTTTTGCTTCTCTACAGAACCCAGCCTAGGACAAGGGGGACACGAGGGGCTCATAAGGGACACCCTGGGGGAAGTGGGGGGACACAGGGGACGGGGGGAACGCAGGCCTTCCGTCTGGCCATCAATCAGAATATCCCGCTGGACTAAGATACACACAGAGTATGTGATCGCCTTTGAGATTTATATTTTTAAGTGACCAAATCTAATAAAATGAAAAACGTTTACTAAAACAAGTCCAAAGACAAAACAGGAAATGTACTATAAAAATCAAAGCTTGACGGCCCGCATGTCGGATGCGCTCCGAGCAGCTCCATGGCCCCAACCCCAATGATACCGCTGGGAGAAGAGGGCTTCACAGGCTTGCTCCGCCTCCTCCAATCACCCTTCGGTTTTGTCCTTTTCCAGCTTTTAAAGAGCTAAACGCAGGTGAGGCACTGTGCTGGCTGCACGTCTGCCCGCCTGTAGCCCTGCCGCTGTCCATGCCTGGCCTGGCTGCCCCGCAGATATTGCTGTACTGTCACTCCTGAGCTATGCTCCGCAGCACGTACTTGACTGTGTAGGCAAAGGCAGCAAACCCCACGATGACAAACAAGTTCGCCAGTGCGCCTCCCAGGAGTCCGTGGTGGCGGTTGGCCTGCTGCAGCCCCGGGGGGTTTGGCCCAGCCACTGGCACATGCCCGTTGAACAGCGGGGCCCCGTGCTGGCCAAGGTGGGCCTCGCCATCAGGGACCACATCTGGCAGGGGCAGGGTCGGGGGCCTGCTGCTGAGCTCATCCTGGGCTTTCTGCTTCTGCTTAATTTCCTGAGAGACAGGAAAAAAATGTTAGTCTAAAGAGCAAGCTGCCTGGCACCTAGGGGCTGCAGAGAGGGAAGCACTTTGTCCTCCATGTGAGCTGATCAATAGCAATGTGAACAGCACGGTCTGTGAATCACTCTGCCCCAATCACATTTATCCTGACCCAGCCCTGTGAGGTAGCCAGTGCTCCTAACCCTGTTCTGCAGGTGAGGGGACTGAGCAGTCCCCATGGTCACTGGGCCTGGAGTTCATGGCCCTGGAATCAGCCAGGTCCGAATGAGGCTGAATCGCCAAAGCCTTGACCACCATGCAGCCCAGCCTCCCCAGCACGGCACTCTGCCTTCGTGCAAACACCAGGAAGCGTTTAAACCCCAGAGCATGCCGCCTAGCTCCCCTCTCCTGGTCCATTCAGAGCCTCAGCAGATGCCATCAGGACAGGCCCTACTCGCTACTTCCCACACTTGCCTAGCTCCATTCTGCTGTCCCTGCAGGGCCTGGAGGCCCACCACCCAGGTCTCCCACCTGCTCCTCCTCTCTTGTGTACCTGTCACTTGTGCACCCACCAGTGTACACGCAAATGCCTGCGGCGGGGCAGCCCCCAGTGCTCTGCACCCCTCAGGAGGGTCCTCTCTGATGTCTGTAGTTTGGGGACGTGTGAGGACATAGAAAGAAACAAATCTGGAGCATCATAGTGGGAAAAGCACTCACCTCCACGACGTCAGGAAACAATTCACAGAAGACTTTGTCTTTCAGGTTGAACACTAAACTCTGTGCAGCCAGCTGTCTTTTCTGAAAGAGAAGGGAAATACTAGCTTGAAAGCTCACTTCAGCTCTTAAAACTCTAAAAGCAGGATGTTTTACAGTCAAGGGCTGCTGTCCTCATATCGTAGAAAGCAATTTAAGAAGCTTGCTCTTCACAACAAACTGACTCAATCTTATAAAGACAGGCTTACTCATGTTTTTACCACCATCAATTAAAAGCATTAAACTTGATTCCGATTTAAAAAATAAAATACGTAAAGGCACAAGATCACAAGAGGGAATGGGTGCTATCACCTCAGCATGCCCAGTTTGGGTGACATGCGTGACTGGAGGTGACCACTGCTGCAGCAGCTCCACCAAGACTGGCTGCCCCATCCTGCCCCGCCATACCTGACTGGCACTGAGCAGAAAAGTCCATGTGGTCAGCACAGCAGGGGTCCCAGGGCAGGGGGATGGTCAAGCCAAGGGGGATGGTGTATCCCCAAGGTGCATTCCAAGACACCCCCAAGTGGAAACAGTCTCTAAAGGTGAGGCTAGGGGGACATGGGGACCTCCTCCTGCAGCTGCCTGCTTGCTGCAGAGGATGACAGTGTCTCAGGAACAGGAAGTGGCCACCACAGATGCCCCCAAAAGGCGTCTCCTCACCGTGAAGTCCGAGGTCTCGATGCTGCCCAGCGTGGGGCCCTTCTCCACCATGAAGCTGAGGAGCCCCGTGAGGATGGTTGAGACGGACCACGCCGGGTTCCATGTGTCGGGATGGAAATCAGTGATGGAAAGACACAGCCTGCAGAGAAGAGCTGCTCAGGAGGGGCAGGAGCACCCGGCTCCCACCGCAGGAAGCACCTTGGCCCAGGGCACCTTACCTCGTGTTGCATTTAAATCTTCCATTGGGGGTTATCATATAAATACTAGGAGGCTTAAAGGGAAACTCTCGGGGGAAGATTAGTTTTCCGTGATAGTAGCCGCCTGCATGAAACAGGAAAGAGCCTGTCACCAACCTCACAGCCCTGCCTCACCCCAGCGCCACTCCCCATCTACCCACCACCCTCCAGCATCCCAACATGACCCTCAGTGCCCCCCCAAACCCCAACATGTCCACGTCATGCTGCTCATAGCACAGCGCCCACTCCGAGAAGACCTCGCACAGCTACTGCACCCTCTTCTCCCCTCTGCCTCCTCCTTCATGCACTTCCCCCTTGCCCAGAAAAGAACGCCCACAGGCTCCTCAGATGCAGCCCTCCTCCTCACCTCACAGAAGAGCCTCTCTTTGGGCTGGGCCCTCCACCCCAGTATTCAAAGCCCCAACCTAGCAGCCCCTCTTGCATGATCCAGTCCTCCTCCACCAACTAGGCTGGCGGCACACAACCCCCACCCATTACGGGCGCCCTCCCCTTTCTGTGAACTCCTTCAGGGCCTCTCCTTTGTTGCTCCTCAGTCCACCCAATGAGGTCTCTGCCCACCCCTGTTCACCTGGGATGTCGTCACCAGTAGCTGCCCCTTGCTTGAGGCCTCATAGCCATGTCTCAGCAGGCTGTGAGCCCTCCCTGCTCTGCTGCCACAATGCCCCTGCCTACCTAGCCCCTTCCTCCCCTTTGCTGGCCCCCACCTCAGTCCCTTCTCCTAAGGTCCCTGTGCCTTGTGGCTGTAGGTCACGTCCTACTGACCTGCACCCATCCTAGATGTCTGCCCCCCTGCCCCATATGCCAGCCTCTAGGGGCCTGACTGTCCACTTAGCACTGCCCTGGATGTCCAACAGGCCCTGCCACATCCAAGATGCACTCCTGGTGCCTCCCCCAGACCTGGCTCTCACCAAACAGCAACTCCACCATCGCCCAGTGGTTCAGATTCAACCAGTGTCATCCATAATTCTCTGTCCCACATCATACCCAATCTGCCAGCAAGTCCCATTGGTGCCACCCGCAAAGTCTACCTGGAACCCAGCTGACCACTCAGCATGACTGGCCCCTGGGTCACAGCAGTGCTGCCATTCCAGGCCGCACACCCCTGCTGCTCAATGGCAGCACCTGGAGTTTGTCCTCGGCCGAACGCAGACCTGCAGCCACCCTAGACAGACAGGGTCAGGCCCTGCAAGCAGCAGGACTCCCCAGCTACATGTGTGGGGTGTTGTGCATGTGTCCTGTGTGTACACGCATGTGCACAAGTGCTTATGTGTGCCCATGTGTTACCATGGCCAACCATGTGCACACGTGTGCATATGTGTATGTGTGCCCACCCAGGTGTCTAAGCTCACCTCCAATAGCACTTCAGCCATGGTGTGGTGGTGGTGGTTTGGGAGGAGCTGTCCGGTTACAAAATTAATAAATGTTCAATATTTATTTGGAAAATGCCGAAAACCACAAAGAATAAGAAAACCCAAAAACCAGCCATAATCCCACCTGCTATCAGTAACCACTGTTAGCGTCTGGTGTCTCTTCTTCACGTTTATTAAACGTGCGTACACACTTAATAAGCGTTTCTGTACCGTCGTACAAATTTTCCTGAAACTCGCCTCATGCCCCATCTTAGCCTCGTCTACAAGACCCTGATGGAAGCAGACGCCTACCATGAGCCCATACTGGCTGCCGCACTCAGCCTGCCCAGCAATCGGTATTTTAAAGGACGCTAGGACACCACCCACTGTGATTCTCCAGCCTGCGTTTCTGTTTCCCTAGGAGAGATCACCTCAGAATCAACTGGGACTGCTACACCAAGGACACTGCACTTTACAAACTGATACATTTGGCACGCTACCTGTGGAAGAGCACCATCCCGTAACCCTCCCGAGGACCCAAAGCAGTGGTCTTCACACTGTTTCTCTACCAACAGAACTCTTCAAAGGAAATCTTGGGCAGCATTCTCACATGGAGGCAGATAGAGGGTGCTGCTCCAGCCACCTAAGGCCAGAACCCAGGAGCTGGCCAGCTGGCAGCTATGCCCTGGGCCTGCCCTGTGTGACAGTGTCCATGGCCCTTGTCTCCCTACTGGGCCCAGAACCCCAAGGCTGGCACGGGCCCCGCTGACACTCTAGCGGAGTGCAGAGGCTCACAACTGGCAGCTTCAAGGTCTACTTCCTGAGTGGCAGAGGGCCCTAGATGCCACCAGATTAGCTGCCATAGCAGTTAGGAGAGCTGTGATGCTGGGCAGGCCACACCCCGCCAACAGGACCCAAGACAACCACCCCCGGCTGACAGCACCCAGGACCCAGGTAGACCACCCCGCTGCTGACAGGCCCTTTAGCCTTCTTGAGCTGGGACACACTGTCTAGACAAGGGGGCCTGTCCTCAGCACTGAGAATGACATGAGATGGCAAGTGCTTGCTCAGAGACTGGCACAGGGCAAGCCCTACCAGCATACCTTTTTTCCCCTCGACAACACTCATCTAGGTCCTGCAAGATGGCAGAAGAACATGATGCACTGCATGCTGTTCACCCCAGTTTGTTCTCCGCAGTGCTGACCCCAGTGACATCTGGGGCCATATGAAACAGAGGTGCTTACATCTCGCCAGTGCTGACTTCACTGACATCCGCGGCCGGATAAAACAGGGGTGCTTACATCTCCCCAGTGCTGACCCCACTGATGTCTGGGGCCTGGTGAAACATGGGTGCTTACAAACTCTGAGCAAACACTTGTAGGACTCGAGCGACCCAAAGATGAGCTCCACATAAGTCCAATTTAACGAACACACATCTGGGATGGAAAGACTGTCACAATAACACACATCCTGGACAGAAAGACTGCCACTAACAGGATACGCTAAGCAGGCACAATCTACTCAAAGTATAAGGGTAAGCTTGCCCCTCACTCCTGCCACGAGTGGAGTACTCACCCTCATAAGGAGTCATCTCAGGGCCTCGGACAACATAGTGCCTGGGGAAGAGAAGACGTTACTTGATATTTGGGCTTGGCAAATTCTCCAGAACCTATGTGCTCTGAGGCTGGGCTTTCCATGACCAGCCGGACCCAGGCGCTCACACACACTGAGTGGATGAGTGACAGGAGGTGGCTGGGGGCCAGACCACGGCGGGTCCCCAAGCCCATGGTGTCCGTGCTGCAGGACAGCCACCTCTGGATGCTCCAGTCGCCCACAGCAGACCTCAGGGCTGCGATGCTAAGGTTCTCATAAAGTACTCCTGTTCCCAAAGCACAATACCCAAGAAGTTAATCCCTCTAACCATTAACATCTACTGAAATCTGAAACAAATCTCAAACTTCACAACACATTCCTGAGATGTACTTGGAATTTGGTATTTTTCAATCTGCTTAAATACCACACACGTAGACAAGAACAAAAGTGGGTGAGGCTGGCTCAGTGGCACTGGCACAGATGTGCTAGAAAAGCCAAGGTGGACCTCCGAGCAGCTGTCCTCGAGCACACGGGACAGATCCTCACTAAGCCAACGTGCGCCAACAGCCAAGCCCAGGTAGGGCCTCGCACGCCTCAGACAGGGGCAGTGTCATCTGGACTCCATCCTCTCCCTCGCTGAGAAACAGGCTTTCCGGAAAGGAGTGTTTGGACTTTATAGACTGTCAAGCAAAACAGAAAAGCACAAAGAAAGTAAAACTAAATCCCAGAAACCAAACACAGCTGTCACTGTGGTAATCACCTCTGGTAACCACCGGACACAGCTGTCACTTCTGAAAATCTGGTAATCATCTCATAGGACACACACAGACCCACTGGCGACACTGGTGGGGCCACAAGGCAGTGCCGTCCGCGGGTGCAGCTTCTATACCTGTGCCAGTGGGCCAGAACAAGCAAGCGCACAGCCCAACACAGCAAGAAAGGGGACCCATCTGCTCTGAGGCCTGCAGATGATCAAAACTAGAAAAGCTCTTCTCCTCTCTACACCACAGACCTGACCACCACCCTGTGAAAGGCCTATGTGCCCCATGGACTCTTGACTGGCTTCTGGGAGCGTGGCTTTCTGGAGAGGTTCCCTCCACCCTCACCAACACGAGTGGCCCATAATGCCAGACTGTGGTTTACACAGGACAATGTGGTTTATGTGGGTCACCCGCTTTCCTTCTGGGGTCTGGGATTCCAAGGCCAGGCAGAACGTGCCTATGCCACCAGTCCCCAGTAAAAACCCTGGGCCGAGCTGTGTCTCTAGTAGGCTCCCTTGACTGGCAGCGTTTCACATGTCAACAGGAGCATTTGCAGGTGTTATCATAACTGGTGCTGGGGGATTAGTGCATCCTGTGTGATCTCACAGGGAAAGGACTCTGGAAGCCTGCACCTGGTTCTCCCTGAACTTCTCCCCATGTTCCTTTCCCTTTGCTAATTCTGCTCTGTGTCCTTTCGCTATAATATCTCCTAGCCATGAGCATGACTCTGCTGAGTCCTGGGCGTCCTCCTGACAAACCAGCGAACTTGGGGGTGCTCTTGGGGACTCCCAACCACAAACTCGCAGGAGACGTGCCCACACAAAGAGTTTCCCATGAATCAAGGAGGAGGTGGAACCCACCCCTCCATCTGCCAACTCCGTCCTAGGATCCACATTTGACTTTGTGTCACCTGGGGCAGGAGAGCTCTGAAAATGGCTGCACTCACACCTGGCCCTGCCCACCTGGGCCCCTTCCGCCTTTCCAGGGCTGAGCCCTTCTCTGCTGAGTAAGGTGTGCTCAAAATCATTAAATACCTGTCTAACCTAAAAAACATTTCTTAATTCAGTTAAATCTCTTTTTTCTGGAATTAAAAAAACTTGCTTCTCAGTATTTTTCTTTAAAGATCAAAACATAAAACACCTCTCGACCAAAGAAAAAGTTATTTTTAATACCTCTGCCTCATATTTTCTCTCTCACAAAATCACCAACAACTCTGGCCACAGTGGCACTTCTGCAGAGGCAAAGCCCTGATCTGGCAAGTCCTGTAACCCCCACTTTGACCCAGCAAAGGAGCCAACAGGAAAGAGTCTACACAGCACAGGGCCCCTTGGGACTGGCAAGGTATAGGCAGAGGCAGGGTCGGGGCTAGTCCTGTGCCAGGAGCTGGCATGGAAGACCCTGCCTCCTCGTGCCACAACTGTTCCAGGCAGGACAGTCAGACAAGCTTACTCCATGTGAGGCAGCAAGGCCGGGGGGAGAAGGGGTGTCGTCTAAAAATGTAGTTTCTCCTCTAAGTACAGACCTACAGGTGTGAACTGACCACAGCAGCAAGACCCCACCCAGTATGGAGGCCTGCACACCCTAAAGCCCCCCTCCAGAGCCAAAGACCACAGCCTTCTCTAGAAAGGACTCTTCCTATCCTCTGCATGCTGTCCGCTTTGAAGAAGACCAAGAGTGTGCGGTCCTCACGGTGCCCACTCACACCCGAGGAGGGAGGGCACCTCTCTACACCACGACCGGGAACATCAACCCACCCAGCCAGACCAGAGGGAGACTGGCACTGACTGCCAGAGCGGGGCACGGGGCCTCACCATTCAAGGATGTTCGAAGGGAGGGGCTCAGCGCAGATATAAGGCACTGGGTCCTTCTTGATCCGAAGGTAGTCCTGCTTCAGTCTCTGCGTGGCCGTCGTCGGAGCTCTCTTACTGCTGTTGCTGCTCATCTATTAAGAACAAGGGCACAGGTGACAAAGAGCAGGGGATCTGCTGCCACACCCTCCTCCCCAAAGCCAGCTTTAGCAGCCCTACGCCTTTGCCCTAATTTCTGCATTACTTCGTAATCTCCCTGATTCATTAGGCCCCCTGATCCTAACATACATATTTCACCTCAATTACCCAGGATCAAAACCTGAGGGTGTTCTGACCCCCCCAACTCATGCCCTTCACCCTGACTCATGCCCCTCTTGCTGGTCTCAGACCCTCCATCTCCACCTGTCCTACCGCAACTTTCATTATGCAACAAAGATTTACCGAGCACCTGGCACAGGTTAAAATAAAACCCTGCAGTTCCTCCCCTGCCCTCGAAGAACTTAAGTGGAGAGGTAGACCTCAGATGGAAAGGTTCCCGGGTGGGGGTGCAGAGGCCAGCGGAAGCAGCTCTGGGTGGCCTGTGCATTCGCCCAGCTCTGTGGGTGAGGCCACACTGATGGGCCCTGACACCATGGAAACCAGCACACACCACAAGCAGGGCCCCACCCAAAAGCACACCATGGTCTTGAATGGAAGGGACGGGGAGCAGAGTAAGAGCCCCTCTGAGGCCGGAGAGACGGTGACCCCTGAAAGACTGAAGCATGCACAGAGCCAAGGGGGACAGAGCCGCGGGCACTTGAGGGACAGCACCAGGTTAGCACGTCAGGGCTAGAGCAGACGGAGGATGGGGCAGCAGCTGCTTGGGGGTAGAGCTGGTTCCACCTGTGGGGCTGCGCCTCTCCCTTGAGGTGCTGGTTTGCCCAGGAGGGTCTTAGGCCAAGTCTTCTGTTAGAAAAGTCACCATGGTGGCTCAGCGCAGGACAGACAGGATGGCACTGGCTGGGCAGCACTGAAGGTTGGGAGCTAGAAGTGATGCGGTGGCCTGGATCGGAGGACCCCAGGGCCCCTCAGCTGTGCTCCAGAGGCTGAGGAGAGGGACAGTGACGGGGGAGACAGTTTTACACACTGGAGTCTCTCGTAATCTAAGGTGGAAAGGCAAAAAGCCTCTGCTGCTAAAAATAAAGTGTGAAAACCACCACTCAGACGTGGCAGAGAACAGAGCTATGCAGGGATGTGCGGGGACCGAGAGGGGAGGAAGGAGCAGGGATCAGTGTGAGCTGGAGAGGGGCCTGTCAGATGTGGGCAGCGAGCGGGGGCTGTCCCCATCCCAACATGCCTGCCCTGGATGGCTTCTGCAGACCTCCTGCCACCTCGACGCCAGTTTCTCCTCCCCCTGCCACCCCCTCTGCCCCTCAGCACTCCCACACTGCCCCACATGGCATGCTCTGGTCAAATGCATCAGTAAGAATAGTGCTGGATGTCAGTGCCAGGATCTGGACCTCCCAGCCAGTACAGACAGGTGGTCAGTGGCTCCCCAGCCACAGGGCCTTTGCACCTGCAGTTCCAAAGACAGCCACACACCCGTTCCTCCCTCCCTTCAGTCCATCCCCTGCATGTCCCCTCAATAGCCAGGGCTCGAGGGGCACAGCGGCCTGCTTCTGCTCACCACCTGTCCCCAGGGCCTAGAGGGCGGGCCTGTTCCTCCTTTACTCCTTCTTCTCCTTCCCACTACAATCATCCAAGTTCAGGATCACAAGTGCCTCCCAACTGGTCTTCCAGCTTCTAATTTCTTCCTATATCGTCCTACCTCATACACTAGAGTCGGATTAATTTTCTCCACAAAGTTCTGGTCCACTCCCCCCCGCCACAAGTCCTTCAGGATCCCCATCACCAAACAAAACAGCACCAACGCCTCCCCTGCCTGCGAAAGCCTCCACATAGCATCCCAGCAGCCTTCCCAGTTCCCAACTCCCAAAGGAGATCACCTGCTCCTGCTCCCCGGCTCACCCCTTCCTCACTGCAGCCTCATGGCTGCATCCCAGCCCAGTTTTTGCTGGTGGGAAACTCACTCAGGCCCTCGAGGCCTAGCTCAAGAGCCAACTCCTCAGAAGCCATACTGGTTTCCCTAGTCAAATGCCTCCCACTCTGGCCGCCTCCAACACTGCCCTTCACTTTCAACCTCTATGTGACCCAACACCACACTACACAGGGGCCTTCCAGTCCCACAGAGGCCAGGGCTGCCTGCCTGGTCCTCCCCAGGCCACTGGGCCTGGCACCAGGACCGGGGGCAGGGTAGGGTCCTGCTGAGGCAGGAAACGATACCCACACACACAGCATTGCCCCGAGCTCCCAGCTCCAGAAGCCAAATGGACCATGTGCTGACCAGAGGCCATCACCTAGTAACAAACACAGCAACCTACCAGCAGAATCACCACACAGGAACCCTTTACCCTGAAGTTACCATTCTGCCATATACAAAATAACTCACTGGGTAATTGCAATGCAACTGTGTTTGGGATCAGCTAAGGGGCCAGGTCGGATGTTTAATGATAGTTAATGAACATACACACCAAATAAAAAATAAAATGAGTCCTGTCTGGTCAGTCACGAGAAGACTTCTCTCTCGTCCCTGCTTTCAGAGGCACAATCTTTAACAGAACTGTACTTATGACAACTACTCAGTTCATAAACAGGAAAGGACTCCCCAACTACCTTCCTTTGGCTCACTCAGAACAGGTTTCTCATTTCCTCTCCAGGTAAGACTGTTTCTCCCAATTTTCCCAACCTAAACACAAAAGCAGGAAGAGAAAAGAAAAAAAAAGGCACAGAAGAATCAAAATATGAAAGCAAAGAATCTACAGCACAAAGTGTGTCTCATGGTGCACAAAGTATATTAGTTACACCAAAGGAAGTGGAGTGCAAGGCAAAAAAAAAAAAAAAAAAGACATAGCATCATGAATATCTTTAACAGAAAAACAGAGAGAAAACAGCCCAACTGCTCCCCACAGGGCACGTTTGCCTTCACTTTCACGTCGGTGAGGCCGCTCCCCAGCATCCACTCAGCCTGCTCCCTCTTCCTCTGGGCACCTCACTCCCATGCTGAGTCCTCGGAACTCAGGTGATGGTGTGGCATGAGACCTTGGCCTGACCAGTGGGATGCCCACGTGACACATCCAGGCCCAGGAGACTCACAAAGCCTCTCCCCTCTTCCATCAAGACTGCTTGACACCCTGGTGGAAAGCCGGCCTGAGGGGGGCAGCCCACCACCACAAACCTGCCCTAGAGATCAATGACCGCAACTTCCAAGCACCCAGATCCTACCATGCATGAAGTCTGCCCACTGGACTTTTCAATGAAGTGAGGCTCCCAAGTTCCTTTCCCCTGAATCCTGACCACACTCCTGCAATAAAGATCCCTGGAATACTGTCGGCCTACAAATAAACCTGTGGTGATTTAATGCACTTCTGCGTTATCTTCCACTGGACTGTGATCTACTGGAGGCAGGGATGTTGCCTTAACTCTCTTGGGCCCAAAAGTGGCCAGGAACCGGAATGGGTACTGATGAGGCCCAGTACTGATAGGAACAGAGACCAGGAGGTTACACTTGGTCAGAGGTTGGGTCCATGCGGGTAATTAGTAGATGCGGAAAGTGAGGGGCAACGCAGGTGAGCGATCTGCCCGGGCTCAAGTCACACTCGAGTCTGCCAGTGGGGGGGTTGGGGAGGTGGGCTCCGTCCGGCTTCCCGCTCTCTGCCTGAATTTTCTCTCGGCTACTTCCCCCAGGGCACAATCCCAGGCACACTCATTAGAGTTGGGATTTATGGAGCAGTTTAAAGTTCTAAGTGTTCCGCGGGGAAGCGACGGCGGGCCAAACGGCAACCACCCCAGCCCCAGCACGGAGTCCCAAGGTCGTATTTACCAACCAAGACCAATGCTGACTCGTCCTGGAGGTACCCGCAGGTGTCCTAGTTAACGGGAAGGTTTGTTCTCAGGAGACCCACGCCGTGTGGCCAAGCCAATCCCCAAACTGGCTGGGGGACCACCCGGCCCGGAGCCTGGGCGCCAGCCGTAACCGCGCCAGCCGTAACCGACTTCTGGTTCCGCGCACCGACGCTCCGGGACCGGAGGCCCTGCGGGCGGCGGGTGCAGGCGGGGACGAGGCGAGCCG